TTAAACTCAGTTTTGCAAATTTGTAATGCTGATATTTGATCTGATTCGCGTTTGTTTCCACTTTCACTCTAGGTATGAACCGGCTGTTAAGTACTGGTATCTTAGAACATCATCAGTTTAGAACTTCTCGATATCCAGACTGGCTATTGCATTATCATCTTGCATTTTCAGTGACTGCCCTCAAGTAGAATAAGGTACAGTTAGATGCTGCAGGAAAGCTTTGCTTCAGTTGTGCTGTAGTTGTAGTAGGAAGTGCATTTGTTCCAGTACACGTACAGTGTAGGTGTATGTGCTGTACATTAAACATCTTTGCTTCGCTATATCAGGGGTCAAACTGAAAAGCAGGGATACAGGGTCCATGCCCCCCTGCCAGGTTAATTCACACAGATGTTTTGACAATTACTGCTTGGCCCTTTTGGCAATGGGTGTAACCTAGTTATATTAATGGTTTCACAACTACCAGGGGACCAGGACTGGTTGGACCTAAGTCAAACCATGGAGGTAGGAACAGAAAGTGCACTGACAGGGGTTTAGTACTTGTAAGAATCACAGACAACATGTGTTGAGAAAATTAGGGTGTTGCTCTCTGTCATCATACAGGTGGGTCTGTGAAACTGTAGGTCTGTCACTTAAATAGAAACCAAGGAGTAAGTAAAATAAGATAGGGTTGAAGGATACAGTGAACTTTCACTAAGCTGAACGTTGTTGAAATCATCTTTTCCTACCTCCATGTTGAAATGGAGTTTTTATTGCATTTTTCAATCCCGCATATGTAAGAAATACGAACAGTTTTTGCCCTGCTCGTTACATTCTGTGCACTTGGGGGCACAGTATCATGGCAGTCTAGAATTCCCAGTGGGTGCCCTGGATAGCTCTCAGACTTACAGAATGGCTGATAATGAGAAATCTTCTAACAAATCTGACTAAATCATTGTGCTGAAACATTTTTAATGATTTTGTGAGGTGTCTCTAAAAGTTAACAGTTACAATAAAACCAAAACAGCCATCTTGGTCAAAAAGTCACATTCTCTCGGTGGCTAAAATTACTGAAAAAGACACTGAAGAAGAAATGCACTTACAGTACATCATATAGAAAATGTGTACAAAGTGTGTGGCATTTGCACATAATCATAAATCTAAAAAAAAAAAAAAAATCGAAGGATGGAATCAATTTTAACTGTAACACGTCCCTGTCTGCCTACCAGTTGAACCCAATTCGACTGAAAACTCTCCAGTTATAGAACATAAAAGTGTGCTTCTGTAAGATAATGTCACATATCCAATGATGACATCATCAATACATCGTCTCTGTTTTATCATATTTATCCCAGTCTAAATGCATGCCAAGACTGAACCCAGTTGGATGGGTAGTTCTCTTGTTAAAAAAATTCAATGCCCCTTTTTGACATTACATGACTGGCGATGATGTCAGCAAAACAATACCCTCTTGTTCAGAACAACATACACTCCTAAAAGAGATGTTTTTGCATGGTGCTACCACAAACCTTTCACTTAGCTTATGACCTCCACTATGAAAAGCTTCAAAGCTCAAGGTGTCCATTCCTACTGAATTTTTAACTCAGTCAGACAGAATGTTGTTAAAATTGCAATGTAATGATGACATTGCAAAAAATTTCCAAACATCAGACATTACTATCAGAATATCTTCTTTTCCAGTGATTTGTTGAAATTATTGGAAAAATTGTTCAAAAAACAAAAGTTTCTTTTGAAATCTCTTGATGTTGTCATAATTTTACTCCAATTTCTTGATGAAACTCATCTTTATGGGGATCCATCCACTGAAAGGATATAATGCAGGGACCATATATTTTTCAGTTCGGCCTTTCGTATTTCCACACCTTAAGTAATATTCCTGATATGAAAAGATGATTTATTACTCAGAAAGCTATAATTTTGTATGGATGGTTTCAGACAAGAGTATGTAATTTTTGATACCTGTGTAAGTTTATTCCCTGTACAAATACCAATTTAAGTTTTCAGATGATTGTGGAAGTTGTAGCTGAATTAAGATTAAGCTAACAAAAAATCTTTATTACTCCTTGTACTGAGTCTGTGGGCTGAAAATTTATAGGTGATGCAGTGCATCCCCCACTCTTCTCTTCACAGAGGGCAAATGTAAATAGAAGTCCGAAAAACCGTGTCAAGTTCATGTCAACATTAATTTCTTTACAAGTAATAGCCATTATGAATGTCTTTACTTACTGCTATCAAAGAATTGCTCTCTAAAGGCTATTAAAGAAACCATTTTCTAATACCGTGATACTAGAGATTCCACCAACCATTAACTACATGGTGCATACAATTTAGAGCCATTGTAGATGAAATGAATTATATATTAATGTAAAAAAAGTAAGTTAAACTACACTTAAGACAGAAAAACAGTCCTTCATTTTAAGAAAATTCAGGAGAGCAAATTGCTCTCTTTAAAATAAACCAACTAAAAGAAGTAGAAAATGAGGTCAAACAATTGTTTGTACCTTGGTGGTGTACATTGTTTCCACTCTCCCTGATGATTTATAATGTTCTTGGGCCAATTTTCTGAATCCAATTTCTAATGTAGTTCATTTAGAAATAGGTTTACGATACATACATCATCTCGTTGGTTTTTTTTTTATTTGAACCAGAATTGTTATACTTGCGAATTAAACACACACTATTTAGGCCTGACGAACTAACAAACTAACTTTACATATAAGTTTCAACCTATAATTCAACACAGTTGTACGTAATGTACGTGTCCCTTTAATTTAAATAAAAGTGGAAGTGAACCTTTTTCTTCCTGAGCTGAGCATTTCTTTTAAAAAAACCTGAAGGGGATTTGAAAGCTTAAACTGCACTTCAGCTTTGTTCAGCTAATGCAGACAGTAACAAACCCACCTCTATCAAAATAAGAAAATGCCAAACCAATGCATGTAGTCACATGCGCAGACCCAATGTTTATGGTCTGACACACTGGGGGGTTTCCTGCACGAATTCAAAGATCGCACATGATGTATGTACGTACAATGTACATGTATGTATGCAAGAAGCAACGTTTTCATGGCGACCAAAGTTCACTGCACTTTCTGCTTAAACACCTCGTAAAGAAAATCGATACTGATTGGCTCTCTTGTCACTTATAGCCAGTACTTACCAATAAAAACATGTAACAGATTGTACCACGTACAGTGAAACTACCTGCGACATACACGCACGTGCCAGCATTTGTACAGTGTGCATGCTACATGTACATGCAGGGCTGGCTGGGATAAATGTGAAATCATAAGTTACAAACGAATCACAGTCCTTTTTGGTGATGTTGTCCACTGTCTTTGTCATATCGTTTGTTATTTGTGAAGTGCTCTTAAATTTCTTTTGGGGCGCGATTTTTTACACTCCTTCAGGAGTGCTGAGGAGTGCAGTAGGAGCGCCTGCGTGATCACACTCTTTTAAAATGAAGGACTGCAGAATAATTCAGGGAGGTCAGCAAGCCATCCCTATTCTAATCAGGAAATGTGATAACTACTTCAATAATACAGTAGCCTATCCTATATGATGAAAAAGCTGCTGAGAAATTACACTAAACCATTTGCCGCTGGGGGCTCCGGTACCGGAGACATAGGCCTTATATTCGTGGCCGGGGTTTTCGAAATCGGACCTTTATAAAAAAAAGAAGTTGCTGGGCATTTTTTTAAAAGGTTATTGCTGTCAGTTAAAAAGTTTAGGCCATCATTGGAAGTAAATAAATTGCTCTTAGGCAATAATGGGTTGCTGGGGCCGGAGAATTGGAACTTTATTTTATAGCTGGGGTGACCGAACAAATAAAAGCCTGTAATAAAATTGCGAGCTGCTGAGAGCTGCCGGGCACTACCAATCAATCCCCTTATTCTTTCAGTGCAGAGCGCTGGCATTAGCTGAGGTAATCCGTGTATTGTTCGTGTAGAGCATTAGTGTTTGTACTGCCGGGCACTCGCAGCGGATTATCACTGCACTGCACTGAAGACAAAGGGCGGGCTGTGCAGGCTCATTATGCACCTGTGCCCCATGAATGACTGAGCCTGGGCACTGCTGGCCCTTGCCACGTTGACTGACAGGGCTCGGCCCTCACTGCTTGAGAATAAAATCGCCGTGCAGTGGCTACATGTGTTCATATTGGGTATCGTGTTATCAGAGCACAGACAACATGGCTGAAGTTATATCCAGAGATTCCAGTTCTTCCAGTGAAAGCGAGTTTTATCTCAGTTCAGACGAAGGTTCCTCGTCTTCTTCATCACAGGCGTCACCTGCTCAAGGACAATCAAGTACAGTCAAATACAGAAATTGACAGTGCTGTACCCTTGGCGGTATATGCCAAGCGCAAGAGACAGTCCCCTACACAGGCTGCCGAGTCGACCTGCAGCAGTGCCGCACCGTTCTGGTGGACAGATGAAGACTGTACACCGCTGAAGTACGGCTTCACCGGCAATGGTGGTGCCGTCGATCCTCACCTGAATCGCAGCTCAACCTGGAGTGAAGCCTTTGAGCTGTTTTTTGACGACGTTCTCTACAACAAGATAGTGCAAGAGACCAACCGGTATGTCGTGCAGAAGCTCATTACAACATCGACACACATGCGGTCATGGACTGATCTGAACACTATAGAACTGAAGGCCTTTCTGGGCCTTTGCATAATGACGGGCATTGCAAAGCACCCCACCCTTCATAGCTTCTGGTCCACTGACCAACTACTGAAGATGAGCTTATTCCCGTCCATCATGCCCCGAGATCATTTCCTTGCCATCCTGCAGTCCCTGCACTTCAATGACAACACCCCCATGCCGGAGGACTGCACTGACAGCCTCCTCAAAGTGTGCCCAGTCGTCGACCATCTTGCTCAGAAGTTTGCCACTGTCTAGGTTCCTCAACGGGACGTTTCCGTCAACAACTCCCTGTTGAGGTTCTACGGGCGTCTCCGCTTCACTACCTACAACCCCAGAAAGAGGGCCTGCTTCGGCATCAAGATGTACAAGTTGTGCCAGAGCACTGGGAATGCTGCCGGGTACTGCTACAACTACAAAATCTACACAGGCCAAAGGAAGGGAGACCTCCCAGCAACTACACAAGTGGTGATGGACCTGGTGAGTGACCTAATCAGCAAGGGCTACAACCTTGCCCTCGTCCGGGCCTTCAGCAGTCCCGATTTGTTTTGATGACTTCACAACCAGAAGGTCAATGTTGTCAGCACCGTCATGGCCAACAAAAAAGGCATGCCAAAAGACCTGCAGTCCTTCAAGCTGAAGCGGGGCAAAACAGCGTTCCAGTCGGTCGACCTGGACATCATCGGTTCTCTCCTGGCCATGGTGAAGCGAGACAAGCGCAACATCCATATGCTCTCCACCACGGCAGACATCCGTGGCTCCGGCAAGCTAGATAGGACGGAGGAGGAAAAGCAGAAACTGACCTGCGTCATCGAATACAACACCCTGATGGGGGGGCGTTGACAAGAGTGACCAACTAGCAGCAAATCATCGAGCTACTCGTAAGTCCCTCAAGTGGTACAAGAAGCTCTTCTTCTACCTGCTCGACGCTGGGGAACAGCTACGCCATGTACCTGGCTGTTGGTCACTGCCTCTCTTTCCTCGACCACCGCTTAAGTCTTGTCCCCGAGCTGCTGTTTGACCAGCCCTTGCCCAAGTACCGCCCCCAGCACGATACTCCACCAGTCACCAACTCCCGCTTCGTCGGCCGACACTTTCCCGTGGACTTTGAGAGGACCAGCTCTGGCGACTTCCACTACCGGCGGTGTGTCCTCTGTGCTTCCTGTGGTCAGCGAAAGAAGACACACTTTGCGACACATGCCACCAGCCCCTCTGCATCACCCCCTGCTTCAAGGAGTACCATACTGTCCACTAATTGACACTTTCAACAAATAATGTCCATGAAAATGTCCATAAAAGTATTTATGGACATTTTCATGAACATTATTTTTTGTGTTTTCATGACTTGATGCCCCACTTATCTGGTGTAAAACAATATGTCATTTACTGGTGGTTTTAGGAGTTGTCATAGTTTCATCCCTTGAAAAAAATGAGGAAAGTAACATGTTTACTAAATGTACAAGTTTTAGGACATGTTATATTTTCAATCCTTCAAAAGTAACAAAATTCCTTGTACTGGTTTTACTGATGGGTATTATTTTCAACGTTTGAAAAAAATGACAAAAAAGACAAAGTTTCTGGAAAGTTTTGCTTTGAGGATGTTGCATTTTCATCCCTTTCATTCCTTGCACCGGTGTTAGGAGTTTGCTCATTCTTGCCTTTTTATGAGTTTTGCTTTTTATTTGATTAGAAAGAGTGGACATTTATTTTACTACTTTTATGAGTTCAACTGTTTCAATGAGAAATGAAAAGAAAACAGAAGAAAAAATGACAAGAAGAAAATAAGACAAAAAGAAGTTCTCTCCGAATATTTGTCTGTGTGCATTTCCACGTGTACTTGATTTTATTGGTTTCTAAGATTTTACTTGAAATTGTTGGGGAAATAAAGTTTTGGGAAGGGAAATATCCATTTTGAACTAAAGCTTACACTGTGGGAGGGAAATGAACAAGTTGGGAGATAAAATATGAGAGTACTTTGGGGGAGATATAAGTTGTTGTAGATGGGAAAATATATAGCAGAAAAAACCAATAGCTTCAAAAAATGGCAAAAGTTAGATGCACCAGCGCCGCAAAACCCACACTTTTAGACTCCATTTTTCATAGCGTGATTCATTTGTCTGTCATGACCCGCACTCATTGAACAGTTTACAAAGCCCAGTGCATGTGGGCACAGGTGCCCATTCACTCACTGCATATTACACGCTGAAGTCTTAACCGTCAATCGCTCTGCATAGCAACACGGCAGTATAACAATGCGCTGGGCCCCGGCCCAGAACAAAAGAGCCCTTATGTAACACTACACAATGGGGGCTCTATACAGAGCGGGTGTGTGGCTGCAAAACGGAAGGATCAATGGAAGTTGCTTGTGAGGGCTAGACTCATCACGAGTCAGTCTATTTATTGGGTTTAGGCATTCAGAAAAAATGATATGAATTTTTGAAGATTTTTGAAAAATGAAAATATGAAAAACAGCCCGGCAGCAAGTGGTTAAGGAATATATGTATAGTCTGTATTTTGGGGATGAAAATATTGGTTATTTTTTTGTTTAAATTCAGTAGTTACTAAAGAACTTTGGATAATACATTTAGTCTCAAGTGACTTAATATTCTTGTACAAGGGCAAGGACCTCAATAATTAAATTGGCTCTTCCATGTAGGAAATGGTTGAAAATGCATGATGTGATTTTTTCAACTCAATAAGGCCAACTCTCCCTTAAATTGTGTTATTTTAAGGCCCTGGCCTATTGAAATTACATGTAGAATCATGCTACTTTCACAGGAGGTTTCTGTCTGAAAATTGGACCCTGATGATGCATCCCTTTATTCAGAAGGGCTCTACTAGGTATCCCTCACCTTGAATTACAAATGGTAATTCTAGGTACTTTTTTTGCATCATGTACATCGTACACATTCATGTATTCTTTAACCCTAACTCCCTAGGAGGATTGGAGGATTTAGGACTGTTAGGGTTAAGGAATTCTCAATAATGGAAGCATTGGCTGCAGTATACTTCAGCAAAATGATTTTGCACAAAGGACCTTGGTTTTTCATATATGCATGCAACTAGCAGATGATACATGAATAAAAGTTCCCATGCAAGGCAATCTAGATAAAAAAAACACTTTCCAGATTGTAAAGTTGCAAAATAGTACTGTATATAAACTAATTTGGACTGATGAAAGAAAGTAATTTAAAATGCCTTTTAAATACATGCTTGAATTTCTATTATGATTGATCATATTCCATTATAATTCAGTTCTCGCTCTGGGTTAGTTCATTCTGAAGGAAATGCATGACCGCTAAATCTGGAAGATTCTTATGTTTGAATTGAGTTCTCTGAAATTGATGCCTCTGAGCGTCTTTTGAATGCACAACCAATTTTAACTCCCCTTTTTTGAGATATTGCGTTCTGATAAACACAGCATTTACAAGATGGACTAAATTGGGGTTAAGAATTTATTGCAGCTTTCATTTTACTGACTTGACATGTGTTTTGAGAAAATTTAAGAAAAACAGTATGTTAATGGTCAAATCGATGATCCTGTAATTTGTCTTGCACAAAACCTACAGACTACAGGGTGTCCTACAGTCCATTCTGGGTGCAGTGAGTGAACAAGGAATACACACTGTCATTCTGATGATGAACACGTGCTTATCCTTAAAAAAAAACCAGTTTTCCACAGCCAAGAGCAATTAGCAAATTTACTTTGGAGTAGTGTGCCTCTTCGACAATGTATTATTATTATTA